CCACAACAGTGAACATGACCTTTGTGTCCAGGCCTCTAACATGAAAAGGAAGGTGCTGGGTTCTCCTGCAGAGAGGACTTGCAATGCAAAGGTGTGTGTTGGCACAGAAAGAGCCAGTGCCACTCAGAGGAGACAACTCTCAGTCCAATGGACCGACTGTTGCACATCTCATCACTGTGAGCGGAGGGGAAGGAAAAGAGCCAGGAAAAAAAAAAAGAACTTGTCACGATCCCCAGCAATGTGCCGTGTCTATGGCTGACCATCTCCTGCATTGGGCTTTTGGGATTTTAGCTTTATGTCTCTCTGGGGACAGCCAAGGCTTTTTAAAGTCGGATGTTTGTGAAAGATGATTTCCTGGTGACTATGAAACCTGCAGGATACCACGATCTCACATACACTCATTGAGTCCTTCAGCCCTCTCTCCAGGGCAGAGCTACCATTAAGGCTCCAGGCCTGCAAGAAGCAGACACTAAGGGGTGACAAGAAAGGCCAATCCACCCCTGTCCCTCCCTTTACCCTGGGAGATGAAGGGGGAGATGCAGGAGGCTCTTAGCTCTCTGGATCAGAAGGAAGGCACGGGGTGGGGGTGGGGAGACAGGGGTGGGGAGACAGGACTGGAGCAGTGGTATGTGTGAAGGAAGTGCTCCTTCTGGAAAGGAGAGCCAAAGTGCCTGCCTGAGAGATGATGTCAAAGGCAGGCATGCATGGCCCAAAGTAATAGCAGGTGGAATACCAAAGGCAACCAAGGAAGAGCCTCAGGAGGGGCTGTGGCGGTAGCCCCGGTTGGCCGAGGGCTCATCTAGAATGTATGAGACTCTGGGTCTGCTCTCCAGCATCACAGAAGCAGACATGGTCACACAACTCGTAAGAGGATCTTAAGCTCAAGGTCACTCTCAGCTCCACAGAGAGTTGTAGGCCAGCCTGAGCTAGAGACCTTGTCTATAAATAAATAATATAAAAAACGAAAGGAGTCTAGGGAAAGATAAAGGTATCAAACCTTGGAACAGAAGGTAAGGAAGGGACAGGTTTAAATGTGAAGGTATCCTAAACTACGTATAGACTTAAGCATGGTGATAAAGGCATAGGACAGTTTGTATACACTGCGCCAGGAGAAGTTAGAGGGCAAAGCTAAAATGCCAGGGCTCCTTGGGGTTCATCAATATAAGGACTCATAGGGAAATAGTCTGGATCCTTCCCCATATGGAGCCCTGGTCTCTGAGAGGAGACCCTCAGAGAAAGATATATCCTTATACATCACACTCTTACAGTAGTGAGTGGGTCCATAGAAAGAGCAGACTCTACCAGGCATCCAGTGATGAGTCGGCACTGGACGGCACACATTCCTGTCCCATAGGCTGGTGACCGACTGGGAAACCCATAGATGCAGCATGGGGATGGAGCTACAGCCCTGAAGGACATAGACATCCTCACAGAGACCCTCCTACGTGGCTCTGAGAGCTTGCTGCCGCCCACAGTTTGAGCTAAATGTACTAGGCTTTCTAGTAACCATTTACTCACCCACCCCATGGGGTGTGATAATTCCTGCCAAATAAATGTGCCACGTGGGTTTCACTTATTTGAATGACTCTCCAGATGGATAGGAAGACAAAACAAGGCACTGGCTCCAGATTTTTATACACGCTCACAAAGTGGCATGAACTAGGGGCTGAGGAGGATGTAGCTGAGTTGGTACAGCGCTTGCCTGGCATGCATGAGGCCCTGGGTTTGATCCCCTGCACTGCATAAACTGGACACTGTAGTCTCTGCCTCTAATCCCAGCACTCGAGAGCTGGAAGCAAGAAAGTTAGGGGTTCAAAGTCACCTTCGGCTAGTCTGGGGGATACATGAGACCCTGTCTCAAAAATAAAATAAAATAAAGTATTATTGTTATGAATTTTTAAACAATAATAGAAGGGCTAACCTGAACCCTTCAGAGGATAAAAAGGACATGCATTCAGGGTCTGGATAGGTATGGGCTTGACCCATACCTTCAGCAGGACCTTCAGAGGCCACCGTAGAGGTAAATGTGGCTAGTTTCCAAATCAGGAGACTCTTCCCCTTAACACCTGCTCTATAAGCCTAGAGGTTCCTAAGTGGGGAAAGGATGATGGATGGCTGAAGGAGACGTAGCTGATAGCAAGGCACCCCTGCCATCAAAGATCTGGCCATGCGAAGGTAATGCAGGGTCCACATCCTGAAAACTCAGCACAGCATCAGTGGAAAGTTTAAAATTCAACCCCAAGCATAGGCATTGAAAGAATGACCACACACAATACATAGATCACAGGGAAACTTAATTCGGGGGTGGGTCTGGCAGGTAGGGGAATGACTCAAAAGTCCAATGGGTCACTTATACGATGATCTTGTCTCAAGGTCAAATTACAAGCCTGAGAGTCTATTTCATGTGCCAAGTCAGGATTGATGTCTCCAGCCCTTACTCAGTTCCTTGGAAAAGCAGGTCTCAGTAAAAGCCACATACTATTATTATCCTCCGGAGGAGAGCCAAGAACAGAGCGCTGAGTTCCCACCCTTAGCTCCAAGCAGAGCCCAAGCATGCAGGGCGGCAAGCTTCAGCCAAGAGCCAGGCCCAGCCAATTCCCAGGGCATTGGTGGGAAAGCTTTTAATTTGATGGCACCAGTTTTGTGGGGGCCCAGAGAGTACCCATCATTTGCCAGTTGCCAGACCAGCTCACAGCGGAGCCCCACGCTTGGCATAAACAGGCTGCCAAGGAGTATCTGAAACTTTGTATAACTACATGTGCGAGATGGGGTTGCCCCCTCAAGGCTCTCATTTTCTTTCAAAGCCCAGCCCTTGCTGGTTCCCTGTTTCATGACATCACAGATTCTGTAAGAGCTCAATACCAGTATCCACCCATAGTCTGGCCAGGCTGCGTATGTTCCAGAAGTGCATGTACATGCTGGTTCCCATAAGCCCCGGGCCCTGGATGCTGCAACCAGTACATCAGGCTAAAGGTAGAAAATGCCTAGTAAACGCTGCTTGGCTAAACACTATAACTTGCCCTTTTTTCTTCACCAGACAACCTAGAGCCTTTTTTGAAATCATCTATGACAAGAGTGCTTTAAAGTTCCAGGTAAGAAAAAAACAAACAAACAAACAAACAAAAACAAGGAAAAAAAAAAAAGTTCCAGGTAAGATATTTGGACACTGGGCAATAGTCCCCACACAGGGGACAGAGGTAGATTTTCTGGGGACTGTGGGAACTGAACCCTCAATCCAGAGGCAAAAGAAAGGTCTTTGGGGGTCTTTTTCTCAGGAGGTGTCCAGACACTACAAGAACCCAGAAATGCTTTTGTTTGTCTCCAGCCACCGAAGCCCCAATTCAGTCCTCTACCCAGCATGGCAGTCCCCTCCTCCATGTCACCTGTGGTAAGGCTCCTAGCTATTAGAATGTCCTCAGAAAGGTGTAGGGCTAAGAAGATGATGTGTTTAAAGGAGGATCACACACACACACACACACACACACACACACACACACACACACACACACAGACAACTCTGCCTGGAAAGGTTCTGTGGTGGAAATCTACAACCCGGAACTGAAATATGCCCTCACCTGTAACCAAGACATTTAGTCTGACTCAGAGGCTTGGAAACTGGTATCCAAAACTACCCTGGCAGGTGGGCCGGGGAACTTCCGTACTTCCCGCCTGGCCACGGGGCCCTCGAGGGCCTCCCTTAGTCCTTCTGCCAGAAAAGAAGGTTAGACTAGCCTTGAAAGACCATTTTTCCCTTAGGCCCCTCACCCCATGGGATCCTTATTTGCAGCCGACAAGTGAGGCCTGGTATGTTGACATAAAACAAAGGGCTCCTGTACCTCCCGAGCACGTCTGGTATCTGAAGACATGTTTCCAACCTTCGCTTCTATCGGGGCTTCTCTTTGATTACTCCCCCCTCTCATCAGATGCCAGCCACCCCAGCTTCTCTATTTGTTTCATTCTTTACAAAAGAAGTGTCCCTGAAACAGCTCTAAGGAATAAGCAGCTGAAGTAAGTCTAGACTCTAGCAGGGCTAGCCTAGGGGGAAGACACAGGTGATGTCAGAAGATCCATCGGGAGTAGAGATTCGAGTCCTCAAATGGGTCAGGGCTAGGGTCTCAGGGGAAAGGTGGGTGGGCATTCCTTTGGGGACAAAGTGTTTGACACTCTCTGCTCCATTCATCTGGCCTGGGCTGGCCACTGTACACAATGCCCTAGCCTCACAAATATTCCCTTCCGGATACTTCTCTCCTCCAGATCCGGCCATCTAGGGACTCTCTGGTGATCCAAAACCAGTTGATCCTCCCAGAGGGAACCAAACTGCTCTCTTGCTGGCTGGGATGATATCCTCCACTTTCCTGTGATGTTGAGGTTTCCCCACACTTAAAGAGCACACTGTCCAGGAGTGAGAAAGGAGGCCTCCCCTACTCCCTCTCTTTTGCTGTCCTGTGTATTTATCTCCACTAGACAGGATGATCCCTACGCTACATTCTAGTATCTATCAGCATCCCTAAGAAAGCGTCCTCTTCGGTTCTGTGGAGTTTAAGCGTGAACTTTGAATCAGCCAGTGAACTATCACTCCGAGAAGACAGGCAGCCATTCTCCCATCAGACCACGCTTCCCATCAGCTGCATTTTTACTGCATGAGGCCTGGCTGGGAAGAGCGTTCTGCTGTTACTGAGAGAATCAGGATGGCTAGTTAGTGATTTCAGTTAATGTCTCCTGAACCCCTGGGTGTCCCAGGCACTACAAATACCCTAAACTCACTTTCTCACCATGCTGACGCTTCAACATAGTCCTATAAGATTCAGACCATTGTTGCTGCCTCATTTTACAAATGGAGAAACCGAGGCTCAGTGGCAGTCAAGGACTTTCTCAAGGTGACATGGCTCTTACAGGTGACACTGGGATCCCCAAACTCTTACAGGTGATTGGGATCCCCAAACCAAGCCTACTTCCAGTCACAGAGAAGAAGCACAAGGTCCCCAGAAGTTTGAACGCACCTGATAGGAAAGGCCATCCTTCCGGGGGCTGAGGCCAATCTCTTCCATGGATGGGGTGTTCATCATGACCTCAGTCATCTCAGCCGATCTCAGATAGTCAGGGCTGTGAAGAAATTCAGACCAGACGTCAACCCATGCACACGCGCGCGCACGCGGGCACATTCCTCCTCTTAGCGACTTTGTGGCCCTGAGATCAGGGGATTGGCCTAAAGACAGGACGAGAGATGCTCCAACAGCTCACAGCAAAACAAGCTCGCCTGAGGAAGCAACCTTCAAACCCACAGCGCTGTGGCTTGCTCATCCCCCGAGACAGACAAAGGCCCCACTCTCTGCAATGTCTCCTTCCTCTACCTCCAAACCCTACACAAAGCAAGCTTGGGTTTTCTATTAAACAAACTAGAAACAACACCACACACACACACACACACACACACACACACACACACACACACACACACACACCATAGGTAGTGTCTACATGAAGCTAATGCCGCTAGGTCTTCCCCCCCCCCCACCGCCACCCATTTTTCCACTAAGAATAAGAGTAATCTTGCCCATGAATTTCCAATGGGAACTGCACAGTAGACTTACATAATAACAATAAAAGGCCAGCCTCGGGGAGACAAAGTCTAATCATGATGCCTTCTTAACTGGCTCTGTCTGTCTGGTGCCTCTTTAGGCAAAATGTCCCACCCCAAGGGGTCAGCTTTTCTGCAAGCCTCACATCTGCCATCCTACCCGCTTCTGTAGCCCTAGCAGCAGCTGCTACTAACTCCCAGCATGAAAAACATCCCCTGGATTAAAAGCCTTCAGGATACACAGATTCTGATTGCAAGGAAATTTCCAGAGGGGCCAAGTTGGCCCACCAATGGCTGACATGTGAAAGGACTTTGTACTCTCTAAGCAGGGTACAAACGGTCCATTATCCTTGCACAGACCATGGGCATACACAGAGTTCAGTATGCATAGTGCCAAATACACATACCAAATCCAGGTACCCACGACACAACACCCAGTATTTTCACTATCATGTCTGTGCACGTGGTTTGAAAAAAAGGAAAAAAGCAAGGCAGGGGCAGGCTTTTGAGAGACAACATCTATGAAAACAGGAAGACAAGAATCCTTTTTTTTTTTTTTTTTTTTTTTTTTTTTCAATATACCAGATAGGGCAGAAATGGTTTTTGGCCCTGGCAACAGAAGCAATCAGTTCTGGGAGCCCTCACCATTTAGAGAGCTGTGTGATCTTTAAAGGACTACAGAGCCTCTCTGAGCTGCAGGATCCCTGTTTACTTCTAAGATGCTAACAATGCATAGTTATGTCTGGAGGGGGAAACGTTGCAGACATGGTAGAAAGTGCTAATGAACAAAATAATCATAAACCTTAATGGGTGAGTGAGAGGGGGCTAATATCCCTGAGGGCTCCTAACATCTACCTTATTTAATTTTGAGCAATGGGGGGCAGGGGAGGGCACAAAGCCTCCACCACCCTTCAAAGCCTCCACCCATAAGATAGCTGACTTGTATGCATATGTGGTACACAAGATCCCAGTGTAGGGGAATTTCACTTTCTTTGGAAACTCGGGGGCCTCTCTAATCAAAGCTAAACTAGTAGGCGGCAGAGACACTAAGAGAGGGTGACAGGCTTGGGGGGTATGTTTAGGTTGAGAAGCTAGACTTTCACAATTTCCTCCCGGGTCTGGAAAAGCTGCCTCCAAACCCCAAAGAAGGGAATCCGTAGAGCATCCACAGGGCTGTGACCAGGTTCCTAGCGGCGGCGTTCTGTTCTTTCTGGGAACTGTGGCGCGGGCCCAAAAAGTTAAAACGAGAAACATGAACTTTCTGAGTTCCTGGGCTAAGCCGAACAGCGCCGTGGCTAGGGCCCACTTTCCCTGGGCTCGGAGCTTGCCTTGGACCCGGCACCGGCTCTCCAAGGCCAGCACCTGCAAGCGCGCTCCAGGACCACGGGAGCTCATCGCCCTGTAGCGCCCCTCCTCTACCCCACAGCAGGAAGGAAGAAGCAGCTGGCTCGCACGTCCCAGCAGCTAGGGGCCTCTCACCGTATCCTTCCCGGCTCTGATCCCCACAACCCGATCCTGCCCGGCTGGAGGCAAACCTCTGCAGCCCCTCACCGAGCTGTGACCGGTTTCTTCGGCACTGGGAGAGCCCTCTCCTCCCCAACCCCGGTCCTCCACAAAGGCGCGATGGATTTTAGGGGCCATGGAGAGCAGGGGTTGAGAAGGTGCACCGTGCACACTGCTTGTATGTGCGGAGAGCGTCCCCCCCCACCACCCCACCACCCCGCCTCAAGCTCTGCAACCCGGGCGGCTGCACCAGCTCAGCCCGGCTGCAGCCGTCCTCGACGCCGACACTTGCGTGCAAACAAAAAGGAAAAGGGGAGGGGCCGGGCGAGCCGGAGCCCCTTGCACCAGGCAGGGCTCATCGCCTGCCGCCCTCTGCGGACAGGGTTTCCTTAGGGGGCTTCAGGCGCGACCCCGGGTTTCCCCCCCACCCAATCGCCACCATATCCACACCCTCTGGCCGCCACTTCAGTGAAGGTTCCGAGTTCACTTCCTTTGTCTGGATGCTCTCAGCACCGCCTCCCCCAACCCCCAGCTTTGCAACCTTGACGTCGACTCCTGCAGGGGCTGAGGCGGCGGGTTAGCCAGCCCTGGGTGTCTGTCCGTGCCACTCTCTGGCCTCGCACCCGGAGCCGGCACTGGCCGGCTGCCGGGCCCCCGCAGCCAGCTGGGTTAAACGGGCGTCCGCCTCAGGCGCAGGATACTCACCAGTGAATGGGGAAATATACAGACATGAAGTCCTAGGGGAGGCTGACCCACGCCCTTGTGATTTAAAAAAAAAAAAAAAAATGGTCACTGCGTCCCGAATGAGGATGACAGGGGCGCAGAGGAGAGCAGCGGGCAGCCGAGAGCGAGGGTACTGGGCGATCGCCGGTCCGCCTTCCCGAGACAGCCCCGGCTGCCAGCGGCGTCGGCAGTGCAGACCGAGCTCCCCGCTCTCCACCGAGCTCCGGGTCCCACAAAGAGCCCGGGAAGCCGCATTTATAGGAGCGGGGGCGGGGCCTGTCCGAGCGCGGCTCCGCCTCCCCTCGCCCACTCTTAGAATAACGTCACCAAAATCATGAATGGCTTCGGCGCTCGCCGCTCCCGCGGGCGGGCGGGCGGGCGGGTCTGCACTCCGCCTGAGCTGGCTCGCCGCAGCTACGACGAGCCCGGCCCCCTCCCCACGGCTCACAGGCGCGCGCGTTCCCGAGCTGGAGTTCAATGTCAAGCCGGCTTCCTGTCCGCAAATCCGCAGCGTCCGCAGCCCCCACCCCCACCCCCCACCCCGCGCACACCCCGGGACTCTAAAGGCTGCGGGGATGGGTGGGCGTGAGGAAGGCGTTGGGGCCCCACTCGGGACGTGTCAGCTCGCCGGGGGAGGGCGCCATTCCTCCACCCGAGCGCCTGGCGCCGCGTTCTCTGCGACTCCCGCATCTCAGGACCCTCTTCACGGGTCATTCCATGCAAACTAGGCCTCTCTTGGGGGATCAACGCCTGCGGCCCCTCCGGGGCGAGATCAGGAAAATAAAAAAGATAGGAAAGAAGGTTGCAGAGACTCGGAGCTGGGGGGCATGTTGGCTTTCGAAAAGTCTGCAGTCCTGGGGTCTGTTTGTGGGAGAAAGGATGTGGTGTTTTACTAGGGTTTTTCCACTGCGCGGGAGCGCTTGCGTACGTGTACACACACACACACACACACACACACACACACACACACACACACACACACACACACACACACACACACACACACACAGTCGCACACACCGTTTGGGTTGGGAGTAGGGAGTGAGGGTGAGAGCCGTTCTAACAGCAAACACAAAGAGCTCCAGGAGACTGACTCCTACACTGCCCAGGAATTGCAGATCCTGTGTCTGTCCTGGTGATTAACCCGCTGCGCAGCCCCCAGAGCCAGGAAGACAGGACTCAATACCCAGCGCTGCCCCTCTGTGGCCTCTGTTTCAATTACTCCTGTAAAACAGCTTCATAAACCTTGACCTGTGAGTATAAAGGGGCTGGAGAAAGGAAGAACCGTGGTCAAAAACTAAGCACAATTAAATGCGGCTTGAAATAAGTCTGAACCGTGAAAGGAAAATGGAACTACATCGGTCCTCTCCAGTAAAAGACTGCTAGGTTCAAGAGAGGGGTTGTCAGTGGCAGGGCCAAGAGGATGTTGGGAAAGGGGACCTCATAATTTTCAGCATCTACTCTTCCCCTCGAATTAATCCAAGCATAAAATAAATCTGTAAGAGCAATTTTGCAATACCTGCTCCCCCCCACCACCACATAGTCAACCTGAGTAAAAGCTAGACTTGCTAAAAGAGCAGTATTTCATAAGCCCTGTAACCAGAAAAATCCAGGCTGTCCCTTCTCCTCGAGATAAAATCAAGAGTTGTTCGTGCTATTCAGGTCTACCCAATTCTGCTTCTGTCCAGGTGCTGGGGATGGGGTAGGCCAGCCTTTACGAACAGGTGCTGAGGGAAGGTGGTCCAGGGTGTGCTATTATTAACAGAGGGGCTCCTTGTACCTTTTAATAGGGTGGGAAAGCATCTCAGTGTCGTTGGCTGTCATGTGACATGTTGTCACCTGGGGAGCCAATGTTTGGAGAGCTAGGTTCTAGGCTGAGACTTTCTGGCAATCTTAGGAAGGTGGTCCCTGAATCAGGCCCTGAGATTAGTAGAAGGAAGCCGCCGCCTCCTCCTCCTGTCTCCTCATAGCAATCCCTCACAAGGCTTGGGATGAAAGGCTCTCTCGTACCACCGTGCCACAGGCACCCTTTACATATTTGTGATTATTACTTAGTGAAGCTATCAAAAGTTAGAAAACTATCTTAACCCTCTCAGCAGCACCCCACACAACAACAACGGAAGTCAATTAGCCCTTTGGGGGACAAGGATGTGAAATAAGGTAGCGACTTGGCCTTGTGAAACATGCCCTACATCAGAAGACACTGAGGTGATGCTAGATGACTACTCTTTGGGAAACTGTATAAATGAACATTCTAGCTCAATTACACCTGTTGCTAAATTCGAGCAGAAAAACAGCCTTGGATCGTGACTCCCAAATCTATGTCAGTTCTCAGTGCTACTACACTTTATGTAGTTCTTTGCGGTTTTTTCAAAACATGGTCACTACGCTGGCTTTCCACAGAATGCGATATGACTAAAATGGCACAGTTTAACAGTTTACAGCCCCCAGTTTAACGGATGTACAAACCACGGCTGAAATAAATTGGGAAACTTGCGGCAGCTAGACAAGGTTGAGTTGGGACTGGGAGTTCAGCGTATAGGCACATTCAGCTTCCCCTTCTGTTACAATGTTTCTGTTACATTGTTCCTCATCTCTGCGTTTCCTAGTTCCTTTAAGCCTCGGGAGATTTTAAGGCACACAGCTTCTTCCTTCCTTTCTCTGAGATAGGTTTCTACCCTCCCTGCCGTTGAATAAATGAAGAAGCAGAACCACCAGCAAATGAAATGACTTCAGGCTCCAGTCTCAGAGCTGAAAGAGACCTTCCAAACTGCCGAGTCCAGGCTCCTCGTTTTACAGGTGAGAAGACACTTAACGGATTAAATGGCATGTCCAAGGTCGCCAGGCTGTTGAGTGATGCAGATGGAAACTGCACTTTGGGACCACTGGTCAAATGTTCTTTCCGTGACCACACCACCGTGTGCACCTTTGTCTGCCAAGAAGTCCACAACAGAGATAAAATGAGAGACCTGGGCTCCCTAAGCCACCTCAGGCCATCAAGCAGCAGTCACTGGGCATCTCCTACCGTGTGCAGATTAGCCTGAGTTCCCTGCACTGTCTCCGGCATCCCCTTTTGTCCTGGGGGATCA